CACCTCCCCAGGAATCCTTCCTGAAACTATACTCCTCTCCCCTACCTCGGGTGACTGACTACACTTTCTTTCCCTTGGATATCATAATGACCTGTGCCTAGCACCCCCTCATTGCTTTTGCCCGGTTACATTTTAATGATCTATGTATCTGTCTTCATCATTACACTGTTAGTTGGAGGGCAACAACTTTGTCTTTTGTTTTTATATCTCAAGATCCTAGCAGATGTTCCAGCATATAGTAACTGATATTTCACAAATGAAAAAAAATAAGTTTATTCACAGTAAGCTCACGTGACCACCCAAATTTAAGTTCTGACTAACGTCACTAACACACATGCGTATGGATGCTGTTGCCTCAAATCTGGTCTTATAGGCTTCCTTTTAACAGAACATCTCTTTTAGACTGTGTAGGGTTTTTTGTTTTGGGGTGGGTATTTTTTGGTCTACTGTGCTTCTTTGAGGGTTTGTTTTTTTGTACCTTATCAAACACTGTCTTGTCTGGGTTTTTTCTTTTTCTTTTTTCTGGGTTCTCATATAATATTATGGTTAGTTGGTAATGGCATAGAGTAGTTGGCAAAAATTATACTATAATTTATATTTTTTAATTGTCCTTAAGTAGCTGTAATGTTATGACATTTTGATAACAAACTATGATTTAACCAACTTAAAATTATTTCAAAGTAGGTGCATCTGCACTCATTTTGACCACGTGTAGATTCAAAATCAGTATCAGTCTATAAATTAGCTTTACTGATTATTGGTCAGATTATGCTAGTTCATGGGTGTTCCAAATTTCTGCATTCTTGAAGCTAAGGGTTTGATCAACTTCCTTTCCCCAACCTCAAATTTTCATAACAAATTTTGCTGCAACTAAGGCATATCAACAAATAAACCTACGGGCAGAACATTCTGATTGTTTATAATGCAGCAGAGTAAAAGGGTACTTGATTTGATGATTAAATTAAAGCTAAAAATGGCTTCTTGTGACAGTTTTTAGCATCTAAAACTTTTCACCTCCCAAAGTGCAAAGTAGAGACTGTGCATATATTATGCTACAAGGCACACAAAACACACACATAAAAAAGGAAAAAAAAATTGCATTGTACATATATAGTAAGTCTATTCTACAAAGAAATTAACAATAGTAACTTAAAGAATCATGGCTTTGATTACATTTTAATGTTGGTACACTAGCAATATGCAAACATTAAAGTAAGACATAATGAATTTCCAGTAAAACTTAAATAACTACATCAAGATGTTAATAATAAATCTTTTGAGTGGAAGAAATATAGGCTTTTGTCTTCTTCCTTATTTTCTGGATTTTCCAGTTTTTCAAAATAAAGATGTGTTCAAACAGAAAAGTTACTTCTGTTCCAGGAAAGAAATAAACAAGGACAGTATCTTTACCTTTTTATAGGTCATATTTCTAACCATAATCTGTACTAATTTGCAGCTTTTAATGTAGTTTCACATTTAATATGTCATTTGATCCACTCAAGAAAAGAGAATCCTACAAATGAGAAAATCAGGCTCAAAAATTAAGGAACTTTCTTAAGATTGCTTACCTAGCTATTAAATAGCAGAGACACTTAAAAAGAAATTTTTTTATTATATCTTGTGTATCGACTATTTTGTTGAAAAAAGCAATCATAGACTTGTGAAGAAGGTACGAGAGAGAGAGAGAGCGAGCCACAAACCTGGAGAACAGGAGGGATTACCAGGAAGAAAACCAAGAACTAACATTCATTCAGTGTGGACCACATGCCCCACACTGAAATAAAAAGGCTGCACAGAAAATGGCCTTTAATCTTCTATGAAGTACCTATTATTACCATCTTGGTCCTACGAAAGGGGAAACAGAAGTACAGAGAGGACAAGGAAGTTGGTCAAAGTCACGGAGAGGTAAATGTTAGGGCCAGAGTTCAAACCCACACATTCTGACGCTTTCTGGGTCAGCACATTCTGACTCCGGTGCTGCTCCGTGCTGGCTGCTAGCGCAAGTTCGGAGTCACCAAAGACCTAGTCAAGTTTCAGGTTTCCTTGAGAGAACTGCATGCTTAGCAATGAATCGGTTTTCTATCAGTTCAGTAAGCTATGATCTTTTAAAACTCATTATTTTAAAAAAACATTAGTTTTTGTTGCTTTTTAACAGATGAAGGGAAAACAAAAGGTTAAACAGCAAAATGTAACAGTGATTTACTAATCTTTTTAAAACCACGACTTTAGGGCACTTGAGTGGCTCAGTTGGTTAAGCATCTGCCTTTGGCCAAGGTCATGATCTCATGGTTTCTGAATTGGAGCCCCACCTGGGGTAAACATGAGCCCCACTTTGGGTGAGCCCCACTTCTCTCTCTCCCTCTCTCTGCCCCTCGCTCACTTGTGCCATCTCTCTCTCTCAAAACAAAAAACACAAAAAACAAACAAAAAAAGATTATGACAGAAAAAATACTCTTATTGCGTGAAAATACAAATCAACTGGTTGTATTCATCATGAAGCAGATTCAACAGCAGAATCAACATTAACAGAATAACCACCTGACTTTGAGCTTACGGCATAGAAATCTCTTCACCCTCCCCATTTACCTATAAAGCTAACATCCTGGCTTTAGTTTTCTTCATGCTCAGAGCTGTAGCTATCACCATTTTAAATAGGAGAGCAAGGAAACGTATATATGTACATGTCTGTGTGTATATTTGCATGTGTATGTAACAAATATACATCGACAGAAAGAGAGAGGCTTTTGAGGGGTCTTGTCTTCTCGTACTAAACCCACCAATGGAGCAGTTTTACTTTGGACTTGACTAGATGTTGTTGAAAATAAATTCTGAGTCAAAAAAGAATTTTTTAAAAAATCTTTGAGTTCTATAAAATTAGACTTGACTTTAACCACTTAGTCATTCCAGATTACAAGTCTGGGTTCCTCCTGGGTATAAACCCAGTGAATACAAATCATTATCTATCGCGATCACACTTGAACACAGTACACTGCATAATAACAAGCACGAGAAAAGTGGAATGAGATTCTAACGCAAAGTGTAAGTTTCAGGTTTCTTTTATTTCCTTTAGACTTTTTACATGGAATTTAGTGAATCTTTATTAAATATTAGTGTCACTCCTGGCGTTAGCTAATCTGCTAAGTATTTACAACTCACTTCCTTTGTCTGTACTGATTTTCCACAGATAGAGACACAAGATAAATTGCCTGGTACATTTTAAACTCTTTACCTTTAGACATTTTCTTTGCTGTTGGTTTTTTTTTTTTTAATCCTTGCAAATTTAGACAAGACAGAAAACTGTTATTTGCCTCATAATGGCCTCTTCAGTGTGTTTCACAGTCTTTTGTGGAGAATAATGACATAATGATAGTGTTCTCAGACCTATATTTTCTACTTGATAAACTAGCAATTATATGATTAAAGCATTTTTAGAAACTCACATTAAGTATATGATACCCTAGAAACCAGTCCATCATGTAATTACACAGTCAGGAGAGAAATAATTTACATAACTAAAAACCATCTGAAACAGTATCAGGACCAATATGTGATCTTTCTAGCAGCTTAATATTTCAAATATATTAAATAATTTAATTATAATATACTTTTAATGTTAGGAATATGAATTATGAATTTTATAAATTGTGTTTAAACTTTAATTTTCTGTCCTTAGTGAAAGGAAATTATGCCAAACTCTGCTGAAAATATGTGCTGATGGGCAGGATACATTAGGACCAACAGAGAGAAACCTTGTGATTTCTCTTCACAGAACACATACTTAGAACCGAGCACAGCAGACGATGCCTAAGTATTCAAGCTCTCTGATGAACATGACCTTTGCCCCAGACTTTTCTTAGATATATCTTACAGACAAATTTGACTAGGTCTTAGTGGCTTTTTTGAAACATCAGATCACTACACCTACAGTGTGTTGAGTTGGAGGAGATATAAATACATTCACACCTATCATTTTCTTTAGGAAATAGGAAAGAAAGACACTTAATGGATTTCCATGAGATTCAAACACCATGTACCATAACCGGAGTATATAAATAGCATCCTTAAAACATCAAGGTACTGTCTCTTTTCAGTTTTATGCTCAACTTCTGGAAGAACCAGTTACCTTGCTTTTCCCAAATTCACTGGGGAAAACTATAAAAATTTATAGAAGTATATTCTGAGACCCAACCTTTCAAAGGGATCATTTCGTATACATAATCACAGGAATACTGCCTCAAGAAGCTTACATTGTTAAGTGAAAATAAGTGTGGCAAACTATGTGTATTATTTTTAGACACTGAGTGTTTAGGAAAAACAACATATATTCATATATTTACATGGGGTTATAAGTATAAAAGATTATTTCCGTGAATGTACACAAGAAATCTATACCTGGGTTACCTTGCTCATGTCCATGGCGGGGAAGGATGTGTGTGAATTAAGCATGTAGGCAGGAACCAAGGATAATTTTTCATGTGTATGGTATACTTTCTGATTTTTAAATCATTTGAATGTATTATGTACTCAAGACATATGTCAGTCGTAAAAAAAAAAAAAGGAAAGAAAGAAAGAAAGAAAGAAAGAAAGAAAGAAAGAAAGAAAGAAAGAACGAACAAACGAACGAACAAGAATGAAAGGGGTCTTGATCCTTGTGTGGAGGTAAGAAATATGGACAAAGTGTGTTCTTAACTATGATGCCAAATGAGTCTTTTTAAGAGCAAAAGGGCAGCAAAATTAGATGCCTCTTGTCACTGGTTTATTCCACCACCACTACCAGCCCTCAATGACATTGGCTTCTCTGTTTTCTAACTCAAGAGAAGTTAGAAAACATACCACAATTTATGTTAACAGTGATAGCAATAGAATCGGACCACCACAAGGCATTTCGGTATCCATACCTAATGATCAGCAAAATCATAAATACTCTTGACAGTTTCTGAGAGATAAAATGAGGAAATCACCCGTGACCAACAACTAATCACCACCTATATAAAGCTTACTTTGACCCTCAGTAATGTAATAGGGATATCCATTCTCAAAACCTCAGCTATCTGAAGCACCACAAAGGGCTGGAGATAAAAAACAAAGACAGCAAGGAAGTACATAAATACCATAACAACATTGCTGGGTTGACCAAACTTATGTGCTATTCTCTGTTTTTCCATATCTACGCTTGTGAGACATTAGCTTTGCAACTGAGTAACCATCCACTCTTATATTAGGGAACAAGAAAAAAGAATTGTTAATTTGTCAGTCCTTGTGTAAAGGATAGAAATGATGGAGATACCATCTGACACTGGCATAAAGCTTCACAGAACTATCTCTTACAGAACCTCATGGCCCCATCATAACTCTGGGAATTAGGTAGGTTCCACATCATTAACTGAACTTAAGGTGTGAAAAGCCACGGCTAGCAAGTGGCAGGCCTGGGACTCCATCCCAGGTTTTCTGAGTTCATGTTCACTGCTATTATATGCTATGTGTCTCCTCAGCATCTGGGTTTTCTCCTTCCCCAAAGAGCAAAGACTTTCCACAGTTGTGGACAGTGAGCTACATAATAAAGTTTACGGCTCTACTGAGGAAGGACTCCAACAATATGCTGCTGTCTAGGTCTCTGCTGAAATTTCTTTATAAAAACCAAAACTGTTAAAAAGGAACTGCAGGATTTTGCAAAATGAAACAAACGTCGGTTGCAACACTTGAGCCTTCAACTCAGAACTTAAGAACACTGTGTCCTGTAATTTTGATTTTAGACAACCAACTGTAAGGACTGATACAATTTCTGGCTGACCTTGTCAGGTGACATCTAGGGATGCTTGAATGGAAAAAGTACTGAATTGTTTCTTTATTCTGTTTCTGCCTGCTCAAAAAATTCCCATCTTCCTAGCCACAATGGGAGGCAATGTGGTAGCACAGCAATATGATACACTATCGAAAATGAATCAAAACTTGATGGGAAATCTAAATCATATTATACTTTGGGCTATTCAAATAAGAAGAAAACAACAACCTTGAAGAAGTCTGTGCTGAGTTTATCTGCACTGCCCTTTGGTATATGCTGGTAGAATTTCATTGCGCCCTCTAAGGTCTTCAAAGTAAACCTTTAGAGGTCTTGAGGTCAGGCAGGCTACTCTGTTGTCACTAATTTCCTGTGCTAATGTTACACTGAAGAAAATGTTAATCCTTTGGTAAAAAGAGAACAAGATCAAAAAGAAAGCTTTTCAAAAATAGACTTTCAGAAAATGAAAGTCAATAATTATTACTTGAAAAATGTCACCATTAGTGCTCAATAATGTGACCTATCAGAAAAATGCTATTTTAATGGTTTTACCGTACATTTAAATGTTTGTATTGTTTTTCCCAGTAGTATCAAGCTTAGCTTGAGACAATTTTTTTTAAAAAATTTTAAATGTTTATCTATTTTGAGAGAAAGGGGGGCAGAGAGAGAGGGAGACACCGAATTCAAAGCAGGCTTCAGGCTTTGAGCTGTCAGCACAGAACCCAACATGGGGCAAAGACCCACGACCTGCAAGATCATGACCTGAGCCAAAATCGAACACTCCACTGACTGAGCCACCCAGCCGCCCCGAGATCATTTTTGTTTACTAGAAATCATGAAGCTCATGATCTCTAAGGAAAATGTTGTCCATTATACTTCTGTTGTAGTCATATAAAATAATTACTAACACTTACATATAAAGTACACATAATGTAAATGTATGTGTGTGTGCAACTTGACGGGTAAACATTTTTAATGAAGAATAAAACACCTTAGTTTTTCTCTTTTCCATAAAACAAATCACGTCTAAAGAATTTTACCTAAATTTTCAGATAGAAAAAAACAAAAGAAAACACAACACAGCACAGAATTTCAGTGTATGTTGAATAGCACTCAGGTCCTGTCGATAAATATCCGTATCACAGAAGCAGATTATCCTGCGATTTGGGGGCAGGTACATGAGAAGCACTATGATAACGCTGCCAGTATATGCTCTCGGGGTCAGAAAGTGTGGAGGCCAGCCCTGCCCTAGCCTGACCTAGCCACCCACTCCACGCTTGAGAGCCAAATTCTCACCTTCACATCTTTACAATGGAGATCACAATTCCTATTCTAGGTGGTATTTGGGAAAATTAAATTCAGCATCTAAATGAAAATACCTGATATACTGTAAAATGACACATAAAGGTAAGATATATTATTATTACTAATAATCCTTGAATTTTAATGCCAAAGACTATGCTAAGATTGTAGTATACAGATTCAAACAATACAACTTTTAAAAGTGAGTAGGAAGAATAAAATAGATTATCATTTTAATTTTTATTTCATAGTTTTTTAAAAAATATAATACAGATGCTATTTATATTGGGGGAGGAGAAAACATCTGTACTTATTCTTAAAGATTCATTTTCATCTCCTACTCCTCTTTCTCAGGCAAAACACAAAATGCTCATCTCATACTTGCTAGACAAAACACATAGATGTTAGTAATGTTGTTTTTAATGTTTATTTATTTTTGAGAGAGCTAGAGACAGAGCACAAGCAGGGGAAGGAGAGGGAGGGAGGGAGAGAGAGAGAAAGAGGGGGAAGGAGAGGGAGATGGAGACACAGAATCCAAAGCAGGCTCTAGGCTTTGAGCTGTGAGCACAGAACCAGATGCAGGGTTCAAACTCACTAACCGTGAGATCATAACCTGAGCCACAGTTGCAGGCTTAACCAAATGAGCCACCCAGGCGCCCCAATAGTATTATTTTTAATAAGGCAATATGGGAGCTGGGGTCTTGAATCCTACAAACCTCTCAGAGTCAGCTAATTTTGTGAGTGTGGGTACATTACTTAATGTGTTTCCGTTTCTTCACTTATGAACAGCAGTTAACAGTCGTACCAAGGCCTCAGAAGACCTAGGGATATGAATGACTTATCAAATGTTTAGAGCTTAGCACACTGTCTGCCACATAGTAATAACTAAAATATGTTTGCTGTTTCAGTATGATTGTATATGTCCTTATATGGGCATTTCAGACATGCTGACCACTTTCCAAACTCTATTTGTAAACATCAAGGAACTGGGAATGCAACCCAGACTCACTTTCTTTTATGAGTTGGGGCTCTTGCCCTACAAAGTCAATTCAGATGAAATCTAAGTGATCCTGTTTTCAAGCACAGCTAGTGAGCTTGATAACCAAGATCAACTCACCAAAAAAGCTCTAACGCACTCTACTAGCTTAATGACTATATTTTCTAGTCTACAATAGACTTAGTAAAGTTTTTTTTTTTGGGAGGGGGTGCCTGGGTGGCTCAGTCAGTTAAGCGTCCGACTTCAGCTCAGGTCATGATCTCACAGTTCGTGGGTTTGAGCCCTGCTTCGGGCTCTGTGCTGACTGCCAGCTCAGAGCCTGGTGCCTGTTTCAGATTCTGTATCTCCCTCTCACTCTGACCCTCCCCTGTTCATGCTGTCTCTCTCTCTATCTCGGAAGTAAATAAAACATTAAAAAAAATTTAAGGTTTTTTTTCCCCCCAAATTCTTGTATGTAGTTTTCATTTCTTCATTTTTTTAATGCTTATTTTTGAGAGAAAGGGAGTCAGAGTGTGAGTGGGGGAGAGGCAGAGAGAGGGAGACACAGAATCAGAAGCAGGCTCCAGGCTCTGAGCTGTAAGCGCAGAGCCCTACATGTGCTTCAAACCCATGAACCATGAGATCATGACCTGAGCCAAAGTCAAATGCTCGACCAACTGAGCTAACCATGTGCTCATTCTTCAGTTACCAAAAACAAACAAACAAACAAAATCTCTGCTTTCCTGTTTTAAGAAAAATGGATACGGGGCCCCTGGGTGGCTCAGTCAGTTGGGGGTCTGACTCTTGGCTTCAGTTCAAGTCATGATCTCACAGTTTCATGAGCCTGAGCCGTGTGTGCAACAGGCTCTGTACCCTGGTCAGTGCAGAGCCTGCTTGGGATTGTCTCTCCTAATCTGTCTGCCCCCCCCCCTGCTCATGCTTGTGTGCTGTCTCTCAAAATAAATAGTTTTTTAAAAGATGGATATTAATCACTCCACAAAATGAATATAAAATTACAACCGTAAAAAAACGCTATAGAGGAGGAAAATCTAGTCCTAATGGGAGTAGAACATTAATAGGAAATGAACAAATTATGTCAATGGGGAGAACTTCCCTGAGGAAGTGAAAAGTGAGTTAATATCTGAAGGAAGAGTAGAGTTAACAGGATAAGAAGTGAAGTGTAAGCTACTGTGCTGCAAAATTAAGGATCTGGGTACGGGTCGGAAGGAACTTGGCCCCTTTCGGGCCTAAAGGAAGGCCAGTGAGACTGGAGCTCAGAGAAGCAGCAGCAGGGAGGGGATGAGCTCAGGCTGGTGGACTGAGCCACGCCCTGAAAGCCATGGTAAGACCGTTTTCTTATCCTACGTGCAAAGGAAAACCACTAAAGAATTTTAAGCCTGGGTATGTGATTGCTTTTGGAAGAGAAAGGGGTCGATAGGATCCAGTATGAATTATGTGTACGATCAGTTTCGTGGGGGTCAGAGTCATTGTGGAGAAACTAGTTAGGTGACAGGATTGCTGCTGGGATCAAGGAAGAGAATGTGAAAGCTTAGATTAGGGCAGCTGGGTTGGATGTGTTAATAAGTGATAGAGCAAGAGCTTGGTTTTCCATAAAACAGATATTCTTCTCTTTGATTGCACAAGCCCGTTTTTCGTGTAAAGACATTTTTCTTTTGAAACGTTCTAGGGGATCCAAGCAAAGGCACATGGTGGGTTAAGGGTTCCTACACACAATGAATTCGATGAGGGAACAATTAAAATGCCAGTTTCTAAATAAGCAGGATCATCTCCCTTTGGTGAAAGCTCTTGTCCCGTATTACTGTAAAACATGTACTGAAAACGAGCCAAAAGAAATAAGGTCAGTTGAAATGCTCTTTTTAGTGTGAAAATGCCATTGATAAACAATCACTTATGAAAAATTAGATCAAAGAGCAGTACTATCTTTGAGTTGACGCCTAAAGAAAGACAAACACAACCAGGAAAGGAAAAGAGTCAGAG